CAGGGCAACCCCAATCTGAATGGTTCAGCTAGTTACGCAGGTTCTGAAAAGACGTTCGACGTTCTAGATCGTGGATACTATTATAATTGCGAGATACACGTTCAGATCGTAGCATTAGACACCTAGGTGCACAAAGGGAATCCAGTCTATAAGCGATACTCCTGGCTTCTTACGGAGCTTTTGCACCGAAAAGTGAAGTGCCTCCGCTGCCTTTCTACTGTCCGGTCGTTCCCCATCTTGTATTATATGCGAATAAAACTCGTCCGTCACGTCCGGCGCGAGGTCATCTTGAATGGACCACATTGTCGCTACTACTCCACGATATCCCGCCAATAACATCCCACCGGCGATGTGAACGGCCTCCTCCGAAAGCTTCTCGTCTCCTGCTGTAGTCTGACAGGCCGAAAGGAATGCAAACTCTGCCTTGGGTAGATCGAGCTTGATGATCTCTTCCACCGTAAGATGCCCATCTTCAAGAATAAGTGAGCTCTTGGTCGGTTCATCTGGCTTCTGAACACCATGGCACGCTAGATGGAGCCAGTTGCAGCCTTTCATTGCCTTCATCACCTTACTCTTGGTCCCTTCTGGGCCTTCGAGCACAACATGATCTTTGTCAATAAGATGACGTCGAAGGTTTTCGAGTTCTAGCTCAGTGTTGGGTATGTAGGATACCCCAGGAGCCGATGGCTGAATCACAGACAGCAGTTGGAACGTCTGCTCGGCGGTAGAATTCAGAGGTTGTATCAAGGCAGACAACGTCGGCGTGTAAGACGAGATTACGTAGTCACTTATCTGTGAATCAACTGAATCCGGACTGTATATTCCGGCCGCATGAATGGGGAGAAAGGCAAGTGGCCCTGTTGCACACCACCACATACGGGAGAGATTATCCGAGTCGGGCTGGGATGAATATCATCAGTATACCGGGTACATAAATCTAGATTTCACCTACAGAAAATGCCAAGGAATCTAATACAGGTTTGACGATCCCATTCCAAAGCTCCGCGAGAATATCCCTACAATCTTCTTCATTACCCGAATCTTCTTCAACCTTCATTGCCGCCCGCTCGGCTCGTACTCGAAGGCCATGCGAAGATAACAGACCCTTCAATTCCTCTTGAAGCTCGGCTATTCTTTCGAGTGTGACTGTTGGCAGCGGGATATGAATTACTTCATCCATTTCAGGAAGGAGAGCCAAAGCATCACATCGCTCCTTTGCTATATTAAGAACGACTACGAGACCATTTTGAGCAGCATTCATGAGCTCCGATGAGTTGAGAGGCTTCAAAAAGTTTTCGAAACCAGAAATCGATCGTACTTGTTCTATTATTGATTCCCGCTCGGCAGTTAATGCCCGGTGGCGTTGACTTGCCTGTTCTAAAGATTGCTTCTCGAGCGTATTTCGATCTGGTCCACGGTCTAGTATCTGAGAAACTTGCAAAAGACGATTTGCAAGATCTGGGTTAGCATCGCGTAATGTATCGACAGGAGTTCTGAGCTGAAGGATTTGGTTCCAAACTATCGATCGTCCCTGTTCCAGCCATTCAAGAGCCTTATTATATTGTTCAAATGAAATGGCAGCAGCCGCGGCGTCTCTTGCAATACCCCCTATCTTGACGAGGTGTTCATGCCGACCTGCCATAGGAAGGCCTAGCCAAGCAACAATTGGTATGAGACCAACAGCACATTCGTAGGCATTCAAAAGGGACTCGTGGTTGGTAAGGGATGCCATTGAAATCCATACTTCTACCGCATTGAAACGGGCCTCTGGTTGCCCTA